CAGAGTCAATACTTTGTAGGACCCCCTTTGGCTGCAATTCCAGCTGCAAGTCTTTTTGGGGATGTCTCTTTGCTTTGCACATCTAGAGAGGGACATTTCTGCCCATTCTTCTTTGCAGAATCGCTCAAGGTCTGTCAGATTGGATGAAGAGCGTCTGTGAACAGCAATTTTCAAGTCTTGCCACAGATTCTCAATTGGATTTCGGTCTGGACTTTGACTGGGCCATTCTAACACATGAAGATGCTTTGATCTGAACCATTCCATTGTAGCTCTGGCTGGATGTTTCGGATCGTTGTCCTGCTGGAAGGGGAACCTCTGCCCCGGTCTCAAGTCTTCTGCAGACTCTAACAGGTTTGCTTCTAAGATTGCCCTATATTTGGCTCCATCCATCTTCCCATCAACTCTGACCAGCTTCCCTGTCCCTGCTGAAGAAAAGCATCCCCACAACATGATGCTGCCACCCCCATGTTTCACAGTGGGGATGGTGTGTTCAGGGTGATGTGCTGTGTTAGTTTTCCACCACACATATTGCTTTTAGGCCAAAATGTTCAATTTCGGTCTCCTCTGACCAGAGCCCCTTCTTCCACATGTTTGCTGTGTCTCCCACTTGGCTTCTCACAAACTGCAAACAGGACTTCTTATGGCTTTTTTTCAACAATGGCTTTCTTTTTGCCCTTTATCCATAAAGGCCAGATTTGTGGAATGCACGACTAACAGTAACAAAATAGCTCAAGCTTTGTCAGATTAGATGGAGAGCGTCTGGGAACAGCAATTTTCAAGTCTTGCCACAGATTCTCCATTGGATTTAGGTCTGGACTGTGACTGGGCCATTCTAACACATGAATATGCTTTAAATATGCTTTGCATTAATATGCGCACTATATTGATGACATTTTAATTATTTGGAATGGCACTGATCTTCAGTTACAAGGGTTCCTGAATCATTATGATAACAACCCGTACGCAATCTCATTCACCCATGTGGTTGACCAAAATCAATTAGTATTTCTAGATCTCAAGTTAAAACATGATAATAGTGGACATGTCTGCTCCAAGACACACTTTAAACCCACTGCTGGGAATTCCTATTTACATGCAACAAGTAACCATCACCCACAATGGATTAGGAATGTCCCATATGGACAGTTCTGTCGGTTAAGATTCACATGCACTTTAAAGCAAGACTACATTGAACAAAGTGCAATTCCTAAAAATAAATTTAAAGAGAAGGGTTATGGTAATACGTAAATCGAGACAGCATTTAATAAATATCTATGTTTATACGATAACGTTTCTGTTAACCAAACTACCCATAAAAAAATCTTTGAGCAATGTCAACAATAATGATTCAAAGATAACACATTTCTCTTCCAGATTTACCAATAAATCCTGGGTTATCAAACAGATCCTTTTCAAAAATTGGCACATCCTACAAAATGACCCCACCCTGGGTAATTCGCTTCCAGAAAAGCCCCATCTGATCTTTAGGAAACCCAGAGTTCTGAGAAGCATTCTAACTCCCAGTAGGCTTCGGAAGTCCACAAGCTTCCCAAAAACAGTTTCAGGCACATGGTCTAGCCTCGTTGACCAGAAAGGCAATAATAAATGTGGTGTTCCCAATTGTGGCACTTGCAAATTCACTTGGCATCGTAAACTTGAAATTACTGGATCTGATGGTAAGAAATGTGCCATCAAACAGTTTATTAACTGTGGGACGTCATTTGTGATATATGGTCTTATGTGCCCATGTGGCTTATTATATATAGGCCGCACTTCTCGCCCACTAAGGATTCATATTAGCGGCATAAAAGTAATATTAAGAACTGTAAAGTTAAATATTTTGTAATAATGGCCATGGACCTCGTCCCAGGATTTCACAACCGCGCTGTAGCCATCCTTCAGCTATAGCGTGGTTGGAAACTGGTTAAAGAAGTCCACCACAGCAATTGTAGTAGGATCAGATTCTTTGGTGTTGAGGCCATACCAAAGGATCTAGATAATGGAAGGAGACACCAAAGACTCTGCAGGAGAGAGAGCTTTTGGATTTTCATATTAGACACTTTATCCCCTAAGGGTTTGAATGATGAAATAGAAACACATACCTTGGTATAGTCTTTACGAGTATTGTATCATGTTTGATATATTCTTGTTCTCATTTTTGCTTTTATTTACTAATTCCATTTATTATAGCAACAAATTAATGTACTGTATAAGGAAAAGATTCCTCATAGTATTTAGCATCCTAACTCTAGACGCCAAATGTTGACGTTACCCCTATACCTAAATCCTTGTCCCATTACTGATGTAATAATATTATTTTTAGCACCCTTTAAATTTATTAATATATTTTTAGATTTTGATATATTGGGTATCTTCCTTACTCTCACTGTTGGTAGTAACTTTCCGATTTTATTGTTTTTTTTATTGTTTTGATTTTTAAATTGTTTCCATATTTTAATCAACAATTCAATAGTAATAATTTTTTTTATTAATTTTTTTTCTAATTCCATTTAATATATTGATCTGTCAACATCGTTTGACTCAGGGTGCACCTATACACACACACACACATATATACATATATGTATGCGTAGACACTGTTCATATATGTGTGTATTCATAATCCAAGTATAACCTACACTCAGTAACAACGAAGTAATCACTCCATCTCTCCCTCTCCTTGTTTTCCCCCTTTTTCCTTGATTTGCCCAGTATCATCAATTTATTAATTCATTGTTTATTATCAGAGTTCTGTATTTCCATTCTTGATGGGTTAATTTAATTTATATATTATTTTATTATATTTTTGATACTCTCGATAGTTCTGGTTATATACACTTATGCTTTTGTCTGTATACACATATATATATATATATATATATATATTTTATTTTTTTTTTTTTTTTTATTTCAGTCCCCTGTAGACAATGGGTTTTTTCCTCTCCTCCTCCTCCTCCCCCCCCCCCCCCCCCTTCCCCGTTGTTCAGGGAACAGAGACTCACATCTCTGCACTCCCCGGTCCTATATATGTCAGCTTTCATTAGCCCGAAACTATGCACAGCCGTAGTGTCTTCTCCTTTCTTTCCTATCCCTCTTTTGACTCCTATAAGAGCAGAGTTACGAAGCCTGGGTGCTTGTGCGCATGTGCGGAAGTTAACTGTTCCCTGTATGACGATCCCTGTGCCAAAACGGCCGTTGTAAAGCATCGAGCATGCGCAGTAGTGATCTCGGATCCTGGCGTGCTTTCCACCGCCACCTGAGCTAACCCTGCAGTTACAACTCCTCTTTCCACTGCCATTTACTAATCCAAGACATTGACTTATACACCCTGTGAGAATGGCTTCAAGATACCAGCTGGTCCATCTAAAATGATAGTGAATTCTAAGAGGTCATTGCTGCAAACTGCTAGCAGTTCTTCATTATATGATCCCAGTACATAGGTACTGACTATATATAGGAGAGGGCCCTCTCAGTCTGACTAGCTCTGATGAAGAAGGGACCCCCCTTCGAAATGCATCAGCGTCATTCTGAGAATTTCCCTTTCAGATGGGATTTGCATATGTCTCCTTATTGTAGGATTCGCTTTTGGATTTTATATCCCTGTTTTATTACTACTCTTGTGAGTATATCTCCTAGATCAATAAATTTACTGTTTATTGAGGTAATGCGCAAGGTTTGTGCACTCTGATTTTGTTCTTCACTACAGCTAATACTATGCTTTGATCTAAACCATTCCATTGTAGCTCTGGCTGGATGTTTCGGGTCATTGTCCTGCTGCAAGGTGAACCTCCGCCCCGGTCTCAAGTCTTTTGCAGACTAACAGGTTTTCTTCTAAGATTGCCCTGTATTTGGCTCCATCCATCTTCCCATCAACTCTGACTAGCTTCCCTGTCCCTGCTGAAAAAAAGCATCCCCACCACATGATGCTGCCACCACCCTGTTTCGCGGTGGGGATGGTGTGTTCAGGGTGCAGAGTTAGTTTTCCGTCACACATAGCGTTTTGCTTTTAGACCAAAAAGTACCATTTTGGTCTCCTCTGACCAGAGCCCCTTCTTCCATGTTTGCTGTGTCTCCCACATGGCTTCTCACAAACTGCAAACAAGACTTCTTATGGCTTTCTTCCAACAATGGCTTTCTTCTTGCCACTCTTCCATAAAGGCCAGATTTGTGGAGTGCACGACTAATAGTTGTCCTGTGGACAGATTCTCCCACCTGAGCTGTGGATCTCTGCAGCTCCTCCAGAGTTCCCATGGGCCCCTTGGCTGCTTCTCTGATGAATTCTCTCCTTGCCCGGCCTGTCAGTTTAGGTGGACGGCCATGTCTTGATAGGTTTGCAGTTGTGCCATACACTTTCCATTTTCAGATGATGGATTGAACAGTGCTCCTTGAGATGTTCAAAGTTTGGGATATTTTTTATAACCTAACCCTGCTTTAAATGTATCCACAACTTTATCCCTGACCTGTCTGGTGTGTTCCTTGGCCTTCATGATGCTGTATGTTCACTAATGTTCTCTAACAAACCTCTGAGGGCTTCACAGAACAGCTATATTTATACTGAGATTACATTACACACAGGGGGACTCTATTTACTAATCAGGTGACTTCTGAAGGCAATTGGTTCCACTAGATTTTAGTTAGAGCTATCAGAGTGAAGAGGGATGAATACAAATGCACACCACAGGTTTCAGATATTTATTTGTAAAAAATTTTGAAAACCATTTATCATTTTCCTTCCACAGATCGATCTTAGCTGGTAGGACTGTCCTTCCCATCTGCACCAGCAGGATTGTCCTTCCCACCTGCACTGGGAGGACTGTCAGTCACACATTAACACTTTCATCAGGCGCAGTCACAGTCTCCACTGCAATACCACTGGTCACCTGATGCTGCACTATAGAGCCTTGTTCAGCAGCTGTGACTGGGCAAGTAGCTTTGGATTTGGCCAAAGAAGGGTTAACAGGTTCTGCTGGCACTTGTAGTCCCTCTGCAGAAATGTAATTTATTTTTTTTTTCAAATGCACATTTTGCTGACTTCTAACACCATCAGTCACAGCCTTGCTGGACATGGGGGTCACCGGGCTGGGTGTCACTAGGCAAACGGTCAGCATTAGTTGCTGCGTTAAATGGCACAAAGACAGTTTTATCCACAGTTTGGGGCTTGATAGGCTTTACCTTATCAGGCCCATTATCAGGGATGTCTTCACCATCAAACACCAGCTGATCCCCCCCATATTGGAGACTCCATTGACCAGATCACCCTCAGCATACCTCCTGAGTCCTGAGAAGGCATAGGGATGTGTACCTCACCCTGAGGGGTCAGAACTGGGGGTCTCCTCCTCCACCTCCACCCTTGCCATCCTTGCAAACCTTCTGTCATTACAAAATTTCTCCTTGAAAGGTCCATCTCTCCCTGCCATCATGGCCAAAATGGTTTCCTGGTGTTCCACCCGGACTTTAGCCAACTGCACTTCAGTATCTATGGATCCCCGGTTCCGGCTATACATGCTTTCACGCTGCTTCCGTAATCACTTCAACTCCGCTCTCAGTTTGTAGAGCTTGTCTCGCTCCCTATTCAGGACCTTAATCCCGGCCACCAATCTCTCCCGAATGGACTCTGCTCCTTCATCTTCACCCGGGAAAGATAGATCTGGGGCAGACATGTCACCCATCAGCCCAGGGGATGGCTGCAAGCTCCCAGCAGGAGAAACCCCACTGGCCTCCATGGCTTCCCCAGAAATGGGCCAGGAGAGCTGGGAAAGATTTTACCACACTTCCCTCTCACACACAGGAGCTAGAGCACCTGACAACAGGAGAAATGCCTCCCTCCTGACACACCTGTGCTCAATGATGGGGAACTATTTCTCCCACTGACACCAATGATGGGGCACTATTTCTCCCTCTGACACCAATGATGGGGCACTATTTCTCCCTCTGACACCAATGATGGGGCACTATTCCTCCCACTGATACCAATGATGGGGCACTATTCCTCCCACTGACACCAATGATGGGGCACTATTCCTCCCACTGATACCCATGATGGGGCACTATTTCTTCCATTGATACCAATGATGGGGCACTATTCCTCCCACTGACACCAATGATGGGGCACTATTCCTCCCCCTGATACCAATGATGGGATACTATTCCTCCCACTGATACCAATAATGGGGCACTATTCCTCCCACCGATACCAATGATGGGGCACTATTCCTCCCACTGACACCAATGATGGGACACTATTCCTCCCACTGACACCAATGATGGGACACTATTCCTCCCACTGATACCAATGATGGGGCACTATTCCTCCACTGATACCAGTGATGGGGCACTATTCCTCCCACTGATACCAATGATGGGGCACTATTCTTCCCCCTGATACCAATGATGGGGCACTATTCTTCCCCCTGATACCAATGATGGGGCACTATTCCTCCCACTGATACCAATGATGGGGCACTATTCCTCCCACTGACACCAATGATGGGGCACTATTCCTTCCACTGATACCAACGACAGGGCACTATTCCTCCCACTGATACCAATGATGGGGCACTATTCCTCCCACTGATACCAACGATGGGACACTATTCCTCCCACTGATACCAACGATGGGGCACTATTCCTCCCACTGATACCAACGATGGGGCACTATTCCTCCCACTGATACCAACGATGGGGCACTATTCCTCCCCCTGATACCAACGATGGGGCACTATTCCTCCCCCTGATACCAATGATGGGGCACTATTCCTCCCACTGATACCAATGATGGGCCATTATTCCTCCCACTGATACCAATGATGGGGCACTATTCCTCCCACTGACACCAATGATGGGGCACTGTTCCTTCCATTGATACCAATGATGGGGCACTATTCCTTCCATTGATACCAGTGATGGGGAAACTATTCCTCCCACTGATACCAATGATGGGGCACTAGTCCTTCCATTGATACAGGTGATGGGGCACTATTCCTTCCATTGATACCAGAGATGGGGCACTATTCCTTCCATTGATACCAATGATGGGGCACTATTCCTCCCACTGATACCAATGATGGGGCACTATGGGGCACTATTCCTCCCACTGACACCAATGATGGGGCACTATTCCTTCCATTGATACCAATGATGGGGCACTATTCCTTCCATTGATACCAGTGATGGGGCACTATTCCTCCAACTGATACCAATGATGGGGCACTATTCCTTCCATTGATACCAGTGATGGGGCACTATTCCTCCAACTGATACCAATGATGGGGCACTAGTGCTTCCATTGATACCAATGATGAGACACTACTCCTCCCACGACACCAATGATTGGGCACTATTCCTTCTCTTGATACCAGTGATGGGGCACTATTCCTCCCACTGATACCAATGATGGGGCACTATTCCTCCCACTGACACCAATGATGGGGCACTATTCCTTCCATTGATACCAATGATGGGGCACTATTCCTTCCATTGATACCAGTGATGGGGCAATATTCCTCCCACTGATACCAATGATGGGGCACTAGTCCTTCCATTGATACAGGTGATGGGGCACTATTCCTTCCATTGATACCAGGGATGGGGCACTATTCCTTCCATTGATACCAATGATGGGGCACTATTCCTCCCACTGATACCAATGATGGGGCACTATTCCTCCCACTGATACCAATGATGGGGCACTATTCCTTCCATTGATACCAGTGATGGGGCACTATTCCTCCCACTGATACCAATGATGGGGGCACTATTCCTCCCACTGATACCAATGATGGGGCACTATTCCTCCCACTGATACCAATGATGGGGCACTATTCCTTCCATTGATACCAATGATGGGGCACTATTCCTTCCATTGATACCAGTGATGGGGCACTATTCCTCCAACTGATACCAATGATGGGGCACTATTCCTTCCATTGATACCAGTGATGGGGCACTATTACTCCCACTGATACCAATGATGGGGCACTAGTCCTTCCATTGATACCAATGATGGGGCACTATTCCTTCCATTGATACCAGTGATGGGGCACTATTCCTCCCACTGATACCAATGATGGGGCACTATTCTTTCCACTGATACCTGTGATGGGACACTATTCTTCCCATTGACACCAATAATGGGGCACTATTCCTCCCATTAATACCAATGATGAGGCTTGTGTACTCACTGATCCCAGGACACTTTCTGCTCCCAGTGGCCACAGTCCGGCCCCCCTAAAGTCTGAAGGACAGTAAACTGGCCCTTCATTTATAAAGTTTGGAGACCGCTGAGCTAGGGAAACCAACGCATTTTGAAAATATATCACAAGTATCTTCATCAGGGATAGGATACCACTCTGGAACATAAACAGTGATTTACAATCTAATTTACAGATCTATCATATTCCGCAAAATCAACTCTGATGGGGACCCTGATGTATGGGGGCTCTGATGGGGACCCTGATACAAGGAGGGACTCTGATGGGGACCCTGATATAAGGAGGGACTCTGTTGGGGACCCTGACATAAGAGGAATAAGAAGGGGACCCTAATATAAGGAGGGACTCTATTGGGACCCTGATATAAGGAGGGACTCTATTGGGGACCCTGATATAAGGAGGGACTCTATTGGGGACCCTGATATAAGGGGGATTGTGATTGGAATCCTGATGTAATGGAGGAATCTGATGGGAACCAGATGCAAGGGGGGAATATGAAGGGGACCCTGATATAGGGGGACTCTGATGTAATGGAGGACTCTCCTTGCTATTGTCCATAGTCCCTAGTCCAACCCCTCTAGTCAAGAGAGGCTGGCTAAGTTCCGACTTACAGTGAGACCATGAAGAATGAACGTAGCCACCCTCTAGGCCAGCACAGTGGCTAAGTGGTTAGCACTTCCGCCTGGCAGTATTGGGGTCATTGGTTTGAATCCCAACCACGGCATCACCTGCCTGGAGTTTGCATGTTCTCCCTGTGCCTGCGTGGGTTTCCTCCGGGTACTCTGGTTTCCTCCCACACTCCAAAGACATGCTGGTAGGTTAATTGGCTCCTGTCTAAATTGTCCCTAGTATGTGTATGTATGAATGTAAGTTAGAGGCCTTAGATTGTACACCCCTTGAGGGTTAGGGACTGATGTGAATGTACAATATATATGTAAAGCGCTGCATAAATTGATGGCTCTATATAAGTACCTGAAATAAAAAAAATAATAATAAATAAAATGAAGTCACAGCAGCAAAAAAGGTTTGGAGATTTGGAGGCGGCTGGAAGCAATACAAGGGACCTTTTTGAGTTAAATTGTAAAAAAAAAAACCCAAACCCTTCCTCTCCAGGTGATCTCTGTACATTGCGGGGATTTTAACAAACTTTTTTGCAGATTCCTACCTTCTGTTATTTTGAAAAAGGAGCTGTTTGTCTGGCTGTGTCCATGTGCAGAGTCAATCTGTATGGGAGTGGTTTTATAATTATCAGTCAGCTGCTACAGCTGCAGGGATCCAATGAGGAAAGTGGCGGGGTCTGCATCCCTTTAGACATGATTTCCCTCTGGGAGTATCTCGCCACAAATTACATTTTTGTTGTATGGGGATGCCCAAAATCTGACTTGTATCTTAGTGCAGACTTCTGGGTAAATCATACAGCCAATCACACAAGCAGGAAATGACATTTCTAGGGGGGTGTACGCCCTCGGTGTACAGAATGTCTCCAGGGATCCATATTACATTTTACAGATAATTACAGCTCTGCAGAATGAAAAGGAAAGGTCATTCTTAATAACATTTAATTACAATATGATGTGAATCACAATTGTATACTATATATATATAATTATTTATTTTTTTTTTTTTTTTTTCCCACGAATGTGGAGTTACCCTTTAAGAATATAAACTTGATTTGATTTATTTTATATACCAGAGTTTATTGTCACTTTAAATCTTTATGTATTAGTCCACAGATAGATGGGCCGTGTCTGGTGTGTTACAGATCATAGATCACTCACCAAACCAGTTTAAAGTCATGAATGAAGGTAAAGGGGAATGAGTAACAAAGACACAACCTTTATGCTGATCAGACCGGTTTTGGCTCAAATATCTTCCTGTTATCACAGCAGTACCTTCAAGGAATATATCTGTATAGCAATGCCCATTTTTTTTACCAATGACAGCAAAAACAAGTTCTTTAAAAATCAATATATCTGAACATTTTCTATGGATTTTTGGGGTTTCTCTTAAATTCACTACATCGATCTCCTGGATCTTGTTCAGTTGTGATTCTAACAGATTCTTTTCATGAATTGAATAATAGGAGGCGTGGAGGTGCAAACATGAAAGTGAAAGTATTATTAATTTTTCATCCTTCAGTTCTTTCTTCATTTCATTTCTCGACCTTCTCAACAGCTAACAGGACAATCACCACTTTACCA